CCCAAGAGATTGAATACTGTTTCCGGAAAAATAATCTTGAAATAATAGAACAAATTTTAAAATTGAAAATCTCTTAAAAAAGAAATCTTGAAATATTGAAAATAACCCAAAGATCTTTTTTGACAATATTTCTATTCCTATCTTCAAAAAAAATTTAAAAATTGTAATTCGGTGTTAAAGTCTTAAAAAAAATGTCTAGATTTTGAGGTAAAAGAGTTCGAGAAAATTCCATAGATTCAGAAAATTTCAAGAAACTGGATTGATATCTGGAGAAATAATTGTGAGATCTTTTTAGATGGAAAATTTGTGCCTTATATCCTGAAAAAAATCCTTAACAAATAATAAATGCTTTAATAATACTCCTAAATAAAAGTTGAAGATTTTGAGGAATTTCCATACAAAAAATTGAGTAAAAAATCCATAGATTTAAACAGTCTCAAGATATTAAATAATGTTCCGAAAGAACTAACTTGAGATGATAGAACCAATTTTAAGATTGAAAATCTCTATATCTTGAAAAAAACTTGAAATATTGTAACATTGTAATATTGTAAATGGCTAATGAGCTTCAAAATAAATAAAATTCTATCAAAAACCTGGGAAAATAATCCTAAGATCTTTTTACTATTAAAAATATTTATTAATCGTAAAAAATCTTGAAAAATTGTAAATCGATGTTGAATTTTTAGAAATAAAAAATTTAAAGATTTTGAAGATATTCCATACATAAAATGAAGAAAAAAATTTTTTTTAAGAATCTCAAGATACTGAATACTGTTCCGGAAAAGTAATCTTGAAATAATAGAATAAATTTTAAAATTGAAAATCTCTTAAAGTTGAAGATTTTGAGGAAATTCCGTACAAAAAATTGAGTAAAAAAAGCCATAGATTTAAACAGTCTCAAAGTATTAAATAATGTTCCGGAAAAACAATCTTTAGATGATAGAACCAAATTCGAAGATTGAAAATCTCTATATCTGGAAAAAAAAATTGTAACATTGTAAATATTGTACCTAATATTGTAAATGGCTAATGAGCTTGAAGATAAATAAAATTCTAACCAAAAAACTTGGGAAAACAATCCTAAGTTTTTACGATTGAAAATATTTATTAATTTTAAAAAATCTTGAAAAACTGTAAATCGATGTTGAATTCTTAGAAATATAAAATTTAAAGATTTTGAATATATTCCAAATTAAGAAAAAAAAAAAGAAATTCCATAGATTTAAAGAATTTCAAGATACTGAATACTCTTCGGGAAAAATAATCTTGAAGTGATAGAACAACATTGCCAAGGGATGTTAAAATCTTAAGAATCAACAAATTTTCAAGATTTTGAGGTGAAATAAGGATTAGTAAAGAAAAAAACGCTTGCCTTTTCTTCAGATTTAAGATCTTGATACAAAACCAATATTTTGAGATGAAACGCAAAAATATCTTGAAATAACTGTTTTTTTTAAAGAAAACTAGAGATCTTGAGACGAGACATAAAAATCTTAATAGGATTCAAGGGTGTTATTAAGGTAATGGGTCCTACTTTACCGACTTAGTGAACGTGTAATTGGCGGCAAATTTAAAAACAAACCTGTTAATTAGTTAATTAAATAGATTGGTGTTGAAGTGAAATACTGGAGCAGGAATTTTTCATGAAAATGTGTATATTTGAGGAAATGATTGCCGTTCTTATGGCGGCAAATTTAAAAACTCGCGTGTTTCAATTTTTTCGCTTGTATAATTGTGTTGTTGGATAAGTGGAAAGGAATGCGTTCGAGCCCCAATTAATCGCCGTATAATTATTTATTCCGCTTGTAGAATGACTCGGCCGTTTCTTCGAACATTGTGTAAGAAAATCACGAACAATTAGTGACTTTTACCGTGCGCAAAGAGCGTTTTCGCGTTGCGCAAATTCGTAAAAATGTCCAGATGTTAGAGTCGTGTGTTATGCAGGATCGCTCCAAGTGGGTTAGGTGTTATGTAAGGAAACGGACTTTCTCTTAGCCTAGGGCACATCCTATGAAAGCGAGGAAGTCCGCAGCTGCGACACGATATTCGACGTAACTGGAGTGCTGGACGCACCCTTCGCAGCTTCACCGGAAACGCACCGGAGTTTCATAACTTGACGACAAAGTGGAACGCATGTGTTATGATTTTAGCACACTTTTGCAACGTTTCAAGGTTGTTGTGCAACGACGATCGGACGGATTTTCGACAATTTCGCGACGAAAAAGGCAGAGTTGCCAACCTTGAGGTGCTCATTAAAGCAAGAATTTTTCTCGAGGAGTAGGAGAGAAATTTGCATAAACCGCTGGAAGTTGTCACAAGATGGAAAAGTTCGAAACTAGATCCTTCCGCAATTACGAGTTACATATTATTTCGGTGTTGTTTCGAAACCAAACAACATTTTAAATGTCAACACTCGTAACTGCATTACCTGACTATTTGTACGTAAAAGTCACTCAAAACACAAGGATTACCTTATTACCCGAGTTTTACACACACTTCCGTGTTCTATAATAAATTTATGCTTCGCTGATTAATAATTAATTAATAAATTTTCCGTCTTCTAAACTAGTTTCTAAAGCTAATCGTGTTTAAGAATTTCACGTAAAATAACACATTTTGTACAATTTTGCAGCAAAGAAATGAGACATGATAAAGTCATTTAAATTAAAATATGCAATACCTAGACCCGTTATAAATTAATTATACAAATAAATAAAATGAAAAGTAATTTTTCCTCTTTGAAAATCACTACAAAAACTGATACGGTCACGACAAGTACATAGTACGGACGCTTTTCCTATGGAGCGGCACATTAGCACACAGTCAAAAATTTTGCCGCCTCTTAAAATGTGTGGAAACATTACTTCGCTATTACATTCTCGCGTATGTTTAATAGATTAGAAATATACAGAGTGATTCATATAAAATTAACAAACTTGTTCATTGATTCTAAAAATTAATAATTCAACTATGATATGGACATTTTTGAAAAAATACGTCCTACTTATATGAACTCACAGAAATCTAATTATTATGAGATTGACAGCTGTCATTCCGCCAAGGTTGCCCAAAAATATCAAATTAACTGATTTTTGAATTTAAAATTTTGTGGAAATTGCATTTAAAGTTGTCTGGTATATGCATGTAAAACAATAATTTTTCTAAATAAATTGTTTTTTACAAAACAAAAATTTTAGGAAACAAATAAAATAAGTAATTTTCGTTTTTTTAATGTTTACGATTCTGGTACACTTTCTGTACAAAGCGGCACATTATTTTAGATTCTTTAAAATTCCATGTAACTGAAAAAAATTATTTCTGTATAACAAAAATTTGTTATTATTTAATTCAATTAATAATTAATGTTATTCAAT